GAACTGACCAGGAGACTGAAGCTTACCTCTGGATCACGAGGCTGGGGAAGGCTGTGTGCTGGGGCAGAGCACATGGACAAGGGATGCTGGGAGCCAGTCCTGTGCTTCGTTCCCATGATTTAGCGCAGCCTCCTGCTCCCTCAGTTTCACAAGCTCCTTATGGATCTGTTTTTACTATTCTGAACAGTCATTTTCCCATCCTTAAATAATTTCTATTTCACTCTATTTTAAAATTACTCTCTTTTTCCTCACCACCATTTCCACGTTTCCTTCGCTATGTTCCCAGTGGGTCTGACACTTCTACATTAATAGAAGACAGTGACCTGTGATAAAAATACACTTTTATGGAGTGCTTGGGCAAGAAGCATTACAGGACCCCAGCAAGAAATAAAAATACAATAAAGGATATGAAAATCCAGCTCCAATGGATTCATTGCCATGAAAACAGAAACAAGTGAGCAGACACCTTGGCAAAGACTCAAATAATTTTCTGTACAGCACTCATGGAAGCAGGCAAGGGTCAAAAGCTGTTGCAAAGTTATTTGGAAAAGAGAAAATAGTAACCAAAGGGAGATGACACTCTTGGATATTCTGCATTTTCTAAGTTAAAACAAAGAGACAGGATCAGAGCTGAAAAATCACCTGTGAGAGTTTATACAGCAGCACTAGGTCTACTGGGCAGCAGTGTCCCAGCAACAGATCACTGAACAGCAGGCTGGATTCATACCACCCAAAATCCCCTGCTGAATTATAGGCCAGGGACTCTGCACCCCTGACCATGATGGGGAGAAGATGAGAGATGAGAGGAGTGGTGCTGAGCAGTGGAGCTGGCATCAAGGGCCAGTTTTGCACTGTAAGCATTGGTCTTCCAGCTCACAGCCTGAAACTGAAAGCACCGCACCTGTGTGCCTCCAGCTCTCCAGAGCACACTTAGGAACAGAAGAGAGTTCTCCACTGCCTCTGCCTGGGCATACCCTGGCCAGAGTATGCTGAGCTACCCAGGACAGAGGGTAAAGAAGCCATCCAGGACTAAACTGAAGAAATGTACTCTCATGAGCATTCACAAGCACAGGAGAATCCATATGTGTTTGCAGCTATGCTACTGACCAGAGTCCCAAGACCATACACTTCCCCTTGACTAGGAACAGCAATCAAGCTCCAGAGCATCTGCCTCCTCAAAGAGCCTTTTCCTCTAGGGCAGGAATTGCCGGCCTAGCCCTCAGGAGCTGGAGATCCTGGAAGAGTCAGTGTAGGGAGCTGCCTTCTGTGGTAGCAATAGCAGCACAATTTTGGACCTTGAGGGCTTTTGCTCCTGTGGGGAAAGCAAAGACTAAGCAAAACTATAGACCGGCTGCCTGTTCCTCCTTTTGGAAATTCAGCTGCCAGTCCCACAGAGCAACAGGAAAAATCATATTCATTTCCACAGAGATTTTATCACCTCAGTTTTGGCATGGGAGAGGCATCTCCGCCCAGCTGTGAGCAAGCTAGTGCATTTTGCTGGCTTTTTTTATGTAATCAGAACAAATTCCTTGGAGATGAGTCACAGGGTTTCAAGGGTGTCCAGAGAGATGTCAAGCAGCCTCAAGTGTAAATTGGTGACACACCTTGCCGAGAGGACTCGTGCTTGCCAGCAGGCCTGTTTCCCCTGCAGACACCAAGAAAGGGAAGGGGCTCAACAAATGTTACCACGGAGGCTCCTACGAGCCACACACACACACGTGTAGCACCTCCAGACCCAGGACACTGCTGGTGTTTACATTTCATCTGTAAAGACAGTGATGGTTTCAGGGTGGAGCTGGAGTTCTTCCCTGCAGCTGCTCTCTAGGCTTAAAAACTGAAGATTTTCAGTCATTCAGGCTGGAGGAGCTTGGCAGTCAGTGAAGAGACTTAAACTTCAGAAACAGAAGTTCTGCCCCACCAAAGCCTGGTCAAACTGCAGGGACTCCTGACTGGGATGTTCATTATGGCAGAACAGCTGCATCCTCTTGCAGTTGTTTCAGTCCTGTGATGATGATGATATGTTAAAGACAAGATGATACTTGCATAATTTCAAGGCACAGTCTGCTTTAGTGTCCCCTTCAGAGGCAGAAATATATAGGACCCGACAGAACTAGACCTGGACACAGTCCCAAAGGTCCAGGTAACACGGAGGAAAATGCTGTGGATGCCCTTGGGCCTTTGAGTGTTAGAGAGCAGATGGAACAGAAAACCAGTGTTGGTGGAGCTTGGTTCTCTTTCACTAACACCAAGGGCAAGGTTTGGCACAACGTACCAGGGCAGGCCAGCCTCCCAATTTCCAAACTGCACCAGGTCTTTCTTCAAGTAAGGTATGCAGGATGCTTCCAGTCTGGAGTGGGGCAAATCTCTATTTGTGCATTCTTTGAGGACAACTGCAGAAGACACAGCCCAGCTATTATGCCTTTCACCTTTCAACTTCACCCTCAGGTGACTAACAATTACCAGCTACCATTAATATTAAATGGGAGAGAAAGAAATGTGATCTCTCTCTGCTCTTCACATTCCACAATATCACAAACAATTTGTCATATCGGGAGGGGCAGAGGCAGGAGGAGCATTAATTATTGATACTTGGGAACAGATGGCCTTTCTTGTACCAGGGCAGTGAAATGTAAGAGGAGTCTGTGGGTGAGGATGTGAGGATTAGATGGGCAGGCACCTATCAGGTAACCAGCCTTCAAGTGGAACAGGAACCTTCCTCCTAGAACCAGCTCTGCTGGCCTGCAGAGCTCTCAACAACAGCCCCGGCTGCAGAAACAAATCCATTGACATCTGAATTACTGAGGCTTCACCAGAACCTTTCAACACTCCCTCACCTCTGTACAGAGCATCCCGGACATGATGACTGACAACTTCCAGACAGCAGAGGCCTGGCAAATCAGGCACCAACTGGTCTCTCTAGGAGACCTTACTGGTTGCATTTCATGTGTTCATCCTCATCTAACTGCCCCATGCCGTGCACATACAATGTACAAGAATGACTCCCTCCTGCCTTCCACTGGTCTTTGAATCCCACTCAGGGTGCTGGCCTCCAAAATCAGAGATCCAAGTGGTCTGGACCAGTGACTTCAATCAGAGACTCTGTTATACAACTCTTTTGGCCAACTTTTCCCATTGATCCATGTAAGGATCAAGAGCAAGAAGACTTCAATCTTGTCACCTCCAGTGCAGGTGTCCTTGAGGTCAGACACCTACCAGCATGTGAAACAAGCTTGGCACAGGACACTTGCTGTGAGTGTCCCCATGTCCAAAAGTTGACTGTGGGACTGGCATCCTTATGAGACAAGAGGAACAAGTGGGCAAGAGTGATCTTCCACCAAAGGCAGCCAATTCAGCACAGTGAAAATGGTAGCACCACAGAGACAAAAGCTCTCCCTGAAACTTTCATGAAGTCTCTGTACTCACTGCTGGATTCAGGCATCTGCAGCCATTTTCACTCTGATGTAGTTGTGCCTTTGCTGGAAGACTAAGGAACCAGCTGTACTGACTCAGACCTGGGCCTGGAGAGCACAGAGTCCTGTCTCTGGCAGTAGTTATAAGCAGATGCCCAAGAAAGAGCCAGAGCTGGGCAAGCCAGTGGTGATACCTCCTTCTAGGACTGCAAAAATTGTATTCCTCAGCTATTTTCTGTTCAAGGATTTCACAAGCCAGACATCACCTCTGTATAGAGTGACGCAATTCAGTCTTCCTCTCTGGACATACCCCTTAAATCCTGTAAATGAGCACTGAGTTTTCCAGCCAGCACTAATTAAACCCATGGTTATTCCATTGAGCAAGGCAGACTCTCTTGGTACCTCCACAGGACCAGAATGTACCTCAGGACCACAATGTCCAGTCCCTTGATATACTGGGGACCTCCTCACAGTCTTTTCCTAAACTCACTTTGTTCTCTTTGCCTCTGCTGAGAGCCTCATTACTCTGATAATTACACACACTCTTCTCATTTCTCAAGCTGACTAATCACTGGTTCATAGTTCCTCTCAGTCTGCCTAGGGTCATGCAGCCTGCAGCTTGTGAGAGTACTAAGACACGTACAATCTTGTGATTTGGAAAAACACAACTTCTCAGCTTCCCTCCTGGTCTGGATCAATGGCAAAGTGCTCAAAGTGAACAAATACCAAGTGCCAGGAGACAGCTACTGTCCATGAACAATATACCTTTTCACAGAGTGGAGTAGGACAGAGAAAGTTTCCCTGCCTAGAAGACAGTGAAGAAGGGGGAAGCAATTTCAGAAAGACCTGGGCCACATCCGTGCTGGGAAAAAGCTCTACCAAAAAAGCAGGAAACCTTCCCACTACAGAAGCTTTGACTAGTGTCCTAGTTTGCTCTAGTTTGGTACAGGAAATGGACAGACCTGAAGGCATCTATACTGCTGTGTTATACCAACATAAGAGCTTTTGTTCCTCTAAAAATACTGTTTGTCTCATGTGATAGTACCAAAAAATGTTTCTAATGTGGATCTCTCTTTACAGAGCTGTCTTCACAGAGCCCTGTGTGTTTACACCAGCAAAAAGGCGGCTGAGAGCTAACATGCACGGGCTCATCTCACTTCCCCATGTTTCACAGGGCCTGAGGAGGGGATCATCTCACAAAAGAAACCTATGGATTAGAGAGCAATACAATGGATCAAAAAACAGAAGAGGCCACAGCTTTTCAGCTCCAGAGCAGCAATGCTCCCTTTCACCCTTCTTGAGTTAACATTTATATGAATCTTTTCCCTGCTGCTCAAAGAAGGAATCACATTATATACACATTCCAGAGAACTTTTCCCAGCAGAAATAACCATTTTTAACATACATTGCGCTTGGGAGAATGTCTAGAATTTTACAGGCAAATGCATGGGTGGAGCTGTGTTTTGACCCATACTGTCACGTTGACCCATGCTGTCAGCTGTAGGTTGACAACACCATCCCAGTCAGGCACTGGAGTTGGGATGGCCAGCGGGCTCAGGAGAAAAGACGTGCTTGGCAGGAGCTCCCTACCTCTTTGATGGCAGACATCTTGATGTTCTCATAGTAGTGCAGCGGTGCATTGGGTGAACTCATGTCATAGCCAAACCCAGCTACCGCGACCTCATCACAGTTGTGGAGCGCCATGGTTATTGCTACGCTTCCCAAGGTGGGGATGTTCTGAGAGGAGAGAAAGTAGGAATGGAAGTTATTAGCAGGTTGCCATTTTTATAATCAAAGATTTCCTCTTATTATCTCTGCTCACAGGGCCACTGCTGCTACTAAACAGAAAATCCGGAATGGTCTATTTGGCTGTATCTGCACATCAGCTGCCCAATGCCAGCTTGCAGGGTCAATAGCCTTACAGCTTGTAAAGAAAATCATGTTAGCCAGCTTCCTGAAAATCATCTAGAGCAAAAGCAGCAGCTCTTGTTTGAGGCGCTGTGACCTGACTCTCCAGGGGAGTACTGTAAAGGGATTAATGCAAATGGTCAGACTCCCCTTCCATAACTTAGCTATATTGAGAACGGGGCAGCAGATGAGCTGGAGGATGAATCACAGTGGATACTTTAGCTTTCTGAAATTAAAATACAGATACTGGATTAAAATGCTATGCACATTACTGGCTTTCAGCTAAGCTAAAGAGGAACGCTTATCCCAAACAGGTCACCACGCAGGAGCAGAAGTGAGGAACAGCACTAACGCTTTCTTTTTACTGATGGCAAAAGCAGTTTAAGGATGTTAAACAGCTCTTGGAGATGGAGAGGAGATCAGGCAGACACAGTCAGCAGTGTGCTCTGAGAGCCCTTCCTTTGCTCAGGGGCACCCAGACAGGCAAAGGGTACTCTGGCCTGCGCCATCTCTTAGTCCCAGCATACTGGGAAGACAAGGAGGAGTGGGATGCCAGTCCGAGATGGGTGGTAGCACCTTAAGCAGGGACACCCCAACTGTCCTCTCCCATCTGCTGACCTTCCATCTGCACTGAAGTCCAGTCTCAGCCCTTCCTACTTCACCTGGCTTCTGCCAAGGCCCTGTGACTGGTTCTGTACAGCTACAACTCCTGTGCATTCAGATGAACACAACCGCTGGGACAGCCAGGTGTTTCCAGCGTAAAATCCCAGCTCACTGACTTTTCTAGCTCTCCTTTAGCCAGATGAATCCAGAGGCAGCTTTGCCCCAGGGGCTAGGGAGAGGCTGAGTAATCCACCCATCTTATCTTCATTTGTAGAGCATCCAACCCCAGCCGTATCAAAAGTATCACGAATTCAAAGGACGTGCTCAGACAGCCACCAACAGTGACAGCCTCTTAGCTGAGACATAGAAACCAACTGCATGCTTGTATTTTTCTTTTACAATAGTTTACCCTGAACCGGTGAGCAATGCTATTGCATCCTCAAAAAGATTGGGAACAATGTTTTGAGTTTCTGCTTCTCATTCAGAGGAACCAGTTTTTGCCAGCACATTACCTTGCCCACTTCTGCTTGCGTGACTGGTCTGAAGACCAATGTTTTCCAAGCCAAGAACATCACCCATACCCTAGCTGAGATGTGCAGAGCTGGGAGTGCAGCTCGCGTGTTATGGAGAACTCCACTACAGTGCACTGGAATTACTCTAATCTGAAGACAAACATGCAAAAACTGCTTATGACTAAATCAGTGAGACATTAAATTCAAACATTCGCAGCACAACTATAACTACACATCTGAAATAAAAAGACCTTCCTACATCCTCCTATGCCAGCTCTAGATGTTGGGAAAAACAGAGGAGTCATTTTCTTCTTGCTACTGAATTTCAGTTGATACACAAACAATACTGGTTCCATTCTGGTTACTTTAGTTAATTGTTAATTCACTGGTAGTTAAAAAAAATACCAAGTAGGGGGTTAAAAAAATTGGAAAAAGTTTATTAGGCAAGGATAAGAATATTTCCCTGAATTTCAAAACATCCAAGAACATCCTGTCTTCCTGGACAAGGCAGTTTGAGTTCAGATTTCTCAGCTTTATGTTTTGCATAGGAGGTGACATTTGGATGTCACTGGAATTGCATCAGCTGGTAAGTGGACGTGCCACAAAACCCCTTCCCTCAGCAGAGCTGTAGTCACAGTGTCCAAAACATAGTGAGAAAATGGTTACGTCCTTGAGGCTGTGTCGTCATTGGGAATACGATGGTGTTAACACCACCCACACTTGCACTGGGCCCATTCCCACGGTACAGCTCAAGGAAGACACAGGGTCTTTGCCTGGAGGGAATTTCCCTGGCCAATTTCACATTTAAGAGCTGACTTTCTAATGTGAGTCTTGCAAACCACAGAGAATTAATCACACTACCCAGCCTCATGGGAGGACTGCCAAACCAACATAACTTGCAGGCATATTCTTACTTCTGTTTGGAGAATACCAGCAGACAGAAATCGAAAGTGAATTTTCCTTTGGTCTGCCTGACTTTATTCTATCTGTAATACCTACAATGGTCTCTATGGAAAAACAGGAGCTTATGTTCTTACCTGCTTCTGTTCTTCAGTAGTTCCTGGCGTGCCAGTGTCTCAGAACTGCCTGTTCCGCTCTCAAAAGTGCTAAAAATACTAGAGACTACCTATCTACCTTCCTAACCTCTTGGACCAGGTTTGACCCCTACAACTCTCAGGAATCCACAAATGTCCTTAGCAAAATGTTTTTGCATTGTCCTAAAATCACATTTGGAAACTGATGATCTGATGGCAGTTTCCTAATCAAATTATGCCTTATTGATGTTAGCACCCTCCAAAACCGTGGTAGCTACAGCCTAGTGTGTGTCCCTCTTGAAGACAGAGATCTGCAGCCATTCATGTTTTCAGTGGCAAGATGCAGCCTCACATCCCATTGCTGCAGTCAGTCCTGTGTGCTAGAGAGGAGCACCTTGAAAATACTGTAAAAAATTATTATCCTTGCTGTTCACTGAGGGCAGTAACTGCTGGGGCAGCACAGAGGTGCTTGTAGAGCACACCTGTAGTAAACATGTGGATAATGGCACCTGCCTGAGAGAAGAACTTGAGTACAAACTCTGTGTGCGCCCACATGTGCACAGATCGAATACACATAACTGGGCACTTGCTCAAAAGTGCGTACCTTCTTTAAAAAAAAAAAACATCAGAGGGATTAAACAGTAACCGGGGAATTAGACAGACAAAAAAAAAACGGAGCCAGCTTGAACAGAAATATAAAAGAAGCATCATTGTTGGCTAACTAAATGTCATTAGTAAGTCAATGCACTAGTTTGGTCCTGATTTGGTTTAAGCTTTAGAAACTGAGCCCTTTTCTCCTGTGGTAGCATGGGAAAGACAAGGTCTTGTAGGGTCTAGGGATATGTCCCAGGCTGTGCTGCAGAGAATCAAACTCAGCAGCATTCTCCAGGTCCAAGGGAAAGGACTCTCCTCTCAGCAAAGAAGTCACAAAAGAGAGGAGACATGTATCAGAGGGGAAATGGTTGTAATTATTCTCTTGCTGCATCTACAGAACTTCCAAGCTCTCCTGATTGTACAGAGGCATATAGATTCGTTACCTTCTAAGCTCTAATCTGGACCTAATGAACCATATACAATCAATGGGGCAAGTTGGGGGACAATTTACTCCAGAAATTAGGCATCATGGACACGGCTGTGCCAAATCTGGCTTGCTATGCCCTGCACAATGCGTCAGTGCTATCTCACCACACACACCCTTGTGCCGTGCCCCAAAGACATACCAAAGCAACCACCACACCTCCTGTGTTATGAAAATAAAACTTTCTCAAACAACTCAGCAGGCCTCTTGCTATTCTAGGTTTTTGCTAGGAAAACCCCCCCAAATCCCAGCATCCTGCCATAGGAATAATAATCTGGGGTTGGACCAGCTGAAACCCTGTCTTTCTGCTCATGGCCATCTATGTGCCTGAGTGTTCCTGTATCACCAAGCAATGCTGCTTTCAACCAAATGGTTGAAGAGCTGCAGCCCAAGGGCAGCCAGTGCCAAGGCAGGAGCTTCCCAGGATGCCTCCCAACCACACACAGACTGGTCAGCGCAGGTTAGGTCATGGCATGGGGCTGCTGGAGTGGCCCAACAGGACCACTGCTCCAGATGTGGCCATAGTGAGTTTCTGACCTGAACTGGTCCCACCAATCAGGGCAAGCTGGGAATGGCAAAGTCACCGCAAGCACTGGCAGTTCTCTCCCCCTGCCAGTTGCCTGCCACAAGCCTTGAACTTCGCCTTGCAAGCTCTGTATCGCTGGCTATGTGTCAATGGTTTCTGTCCCAGCTGGGGCCCAAGGTATGTACCAGGTTCAGCATCCCCTCCCCAGCCCTGGTAAACAACTACAAGGGCAACCTCACTGGATAATGTGTCCAGAACTGATAGTCCACATTTTCAAGCCTGGCCTGCTTGTCTAAGACCAAACATCTGGAAAATGTAATATTTAATATAATGCTCCCCAGGGATCAGCTCTTTGCCTGGTCCCATTTGAGAGAACACAGCAGACTGACAGATGAGCCAGAGATGACACTAAAAGGCCATGTGACAAACAGAAGCAGCAAACACAGCAGTGGTGAACGACACGTCACCATGGCAGTGCTGGCCAAAGGCTGCCTGAGCCTCTGGAGCATGGCTCCTTCCAGGGGACATATCCTCCACGGGTGAGCACATGCATGATGAATCTTGGTTAGAAAAGCATAAAGACAAGAGAGGCAAAGATTTCTGGTCTTGTGCTGCATCAGGGACCCCTGCAAACTCTGTGCAGTGCAAACACAGTCAGTTTGCACCACCAGGTCAGGGGAGCAGAAATACCTTTAGCAGTACAGACACAGGACAGGTACTCCTAACTGCTCCTACACTGTTCTCTGCTGCAAGCAGAAGGATAAAAGGCTTTCCCTCAAGACATTGATGTTTCATCTTTCATTTGTCCCCCTGAAGAGGATCTAAAGACTGACTTCTACTCACAGAGAAAAGGAGTCAGCCATCAGAAATGAACACCAGCTCTCCTCTGCACTCTATTGAGGCTGAGCATCACCTCACAGGCTTGCACTGGAGATCCACTGCTGGTGACTGAACCAGGGCCATAACTGCTCTTTGCTTGGTGCATGTGAAAAGCTCTTGCTGCTTTTCATTCCATGCCCGGGTCATTCCTGTGTCACTGCCTGCTGGACTGGAAGGAAATGACTGCTGTAAATCTG